CAGATCTAGGACTCCACCAGTAACCAGGAGGCGATCTCGAAGCCGAACCTCCCCTATCACTCGCAGAAGATCGAGATCCAGAACATCCCCAGTCACCCGAAGGAGATCACGATCTCGCACTTCTCCAGTAACTCGAAGAAGGTCTCGCTCTCGAACCTCTCCAGTGACACGCCGCCGATCTAGATCCCGAACTCCTCCAGCTATTCGGCGCCGCTCCAGGTCTCGAACCCCATTGCTGCCACGCAAGCGTTCTCGAAGTCGCTCGCCACTTGCTATTCGCCGCCGTTCCCGATCCCGTACTCCACGAACAACTCGGGGCAAACGGTCCTTAACAAGATCTCCTCCGGCCATCCGCAGGCGTTCTGCCTCTGGAAGCAGTTCCGATCGATCACGTTCTGCTACTCCTCCAGCAACAAGAAACCATTCTGGTTCTCGGACACCGCCTGTAGCTCTCAATAGCTCCAGAATGGGCTGCTTCAGCCGTCCTAGCATGTCACCAACTCCTCTTGACCGCTGTAGGTCACCCGGAGTGCTTGAGCCCCTCGGCAGCTCCAGAACACCCATGTCTGTCCTGCAGCAAGCTGGAGGTTCCATGATGGATGGTCCAGGTCCCCGAATTCCTGATCACCCGCGAGCATCTGTACCTGAAAACCATGCACAGTCGAGAATTGCACTTGCCCTGACGGCCATTAGCCTTGGCACCGCGCGGCCGCCTCCGTCCATGTCTGCGGCTGGCCTTGCTGCGAGAATGTCCCAGGTTCCAGCCCCAGTGCCTCTCATGAGTCTCCGAACGGCCCCTGCGGCCAGTCTTGCCAGCAGGATCCCTGCAGCCTCTGCAGCAGCCATGAACCTGGCCAGCGCCAGGACACCTGCCCTGCCCTCAGCAGTTAACCTAGCTGACTCCAGAACACCAGCTGCGGCCGCAGCCATGAACTTGGCCAGCCCCAGAACAGCGGTGGCACCTTCGGCTGTGAACCTCGCTGACCCTCGTACTCCCACAGCCCCAGCTGTGAACCTAGCAGGAGCCAGAACCCCTGCTGCTTTGGCAGCTCTGAGTCTCACGGGTTCTGGCACAGCCCCGACTGCTGCAAACTATCCGTCCAGCTCCAGAGCACCCCAGGCTCCAGCCCCTGCAAACCTGGTGGGTCCTAGGTCTGCACATGCCACAGCACCTGTGAATATAGCCAGCTCAAGAACCCCTCCAGCCTTGGCCCCTGCAAACCTCACTAGTGCTAGAATGGCTCCAGCCTTGTCTGGTGCAAACCTCACCAGTCCCAGGGTGCCCCTCTCTGCCTATGAGCGTGTTAGTGGGAGAACCTCACCACCACTCCTTGACCGAGCCAGGTCCAGAACCCCACCAGGGGGCCCAGGCTCCAGAACCCCGCCATCTGCCCCAAGCCAGTCTAGAGTGACCTCTGAGCGGGCTCCCTCTCCCGCTTCTAGAATGGTCCAGGCTCCCTCACAGTCTGCTCTTCCTCCAGCTCAGGATCGGCCTAGGTCCCCTGTGCCATCTGCTTTTTCTGACCAATCTCGATCTTTGCTTGCCCAGACCCCCCCTGTAGCAGGGTCTCAGTCCCTTTCCTCCGGGACGGTGGCAAAGACCACGTCCTCTGCTGGTGACCACAATGGCATGCTCTCTGGCCCTGTCCCCGGGGTGTCCCACCCAGAGGGTGGGGACCCACCTGCCTGTGCGGGGGCCCAGCAGCCTTCCACATTGGCTGCCCTGCAGCCAGCCAAGGAGCGGCGGAGTTCCTCGTCCTCGTCGTCCTCTAGCTCCTCCTCCTCCTCCTCGTCGTCCTCGTCCTCGTCCTCCTCCTCCTCTGGCTCCAGCTCTAGTGACTCGGAGGGCTCTAGCCTTCCCGCTCAACCTGAGGTAGCACTGAAAAGGTGAGGGGGCTCTGTAGGACTCTTGTACGGGGAGGGCTCCGGGGATGGTTGGTGGGAGTGGGGAGGGAGAAGCCCTATCCAGAGGTTCTTTGCTCTTTGAGAAGAGGTACGGGGACCCTGACCCTTAAGTTGGGGGTAGAAGAGAATGCTGGGGTGGGGGTTAACGGGGGGAGGGATGGGACAGGTAAAAGTCGACGAAGGTTAATTCTCTAGAGGATAATGATAAGTTTTCCGTCTCTACAGAGGACAGAACTAGAGGAAATGGACTTAATTTTACAGCAGGAGGGATGGCAGTTAGACCTCAAGAGGAACTCCCTGGGCTGGAAGGATCTTCAGAGGTCATCCTATCCCTCTCCCTGCCTCCAGGCAGGACGGCCCCTCCCCCAGCCAACCCGCACACACAGTGGCCTCCCCAAGCTGCGGCTCTCCTCTCCAAGGACGGAGACCACCCAGCTCGGCTTCCACACCTGAGCCCAGGGGCCTTATTCCTCCTTCAGGGACATTCTTGAGGTTTAACCTTGATCCCTTTTGCTGCGGGCCCCAGCCTGTTGCTTGTGTTAGCAGAGGTTGGGTCAGCTGGGGCCACGCTCTCCAGAGAATGCGCTCACAGGCTCCCGGCTCAGCTCTCAGCTCGGGAGAGCTCCCAGGGCCTTCCTCAGCACCCCTCCCCCACTGCCGTTCCTCCAGGCCAAGGAAGGTAGGGTTGGGGCTGGGGCAGCTTGTCTCCACGTGACACCTTCTTCTCCCACAGGGTCCCCAGCCCTGCCCCAGCACCCAAGGAGGCTGTTCGAGAGGGCCGTCCTCAGGAGCCAGCCCCAGCCAAGCGGAAGAGGCGTTCTAGCAGCTCCAGTTCCAGCTCCTCCTCCTCTTCTTCATCATCCTCCTCCTCTTCCTCCTCCTCCTCCTCCTCTTCCTCATCCTCCTCCTCCTCCTCCTCCTCCTCCTCCACTTCTTCCTCCCCCTCCCCTGCTAAGCCTGGCCCTCAGGCCTTGCCCAAACCTGCAAGCCCCAAGAAGGCACCCCCTGGCGAGCGGAGGTGAGTGCTGCCTTGCTGGACACAAGGGTGGGGTGTGACCCTGGGGTGTGTCTGCTCGTACAGGAGGAGTTGGGCTCTCCTCTCCCTGCCTGCTCTTGTGCCCTGTTCTGGCGGAGGGCTTCGCCATCCAAGCGGGTGCGTGAGCCAGAATTGGGGAGTCCTAGGTTCCTTCCTCTCCCTGCCCCTGACATATAGTCTGGTCCCAGGTCCCAGGGATTCTAGCTTTTACGTCAACCTGTTACTGTTACCAGGGCTCTGGTCTGGCCACCGTCATCTTCTCCCGACTCTGTCCACAGCCTCTTCCCTGTCTCCCTGCCTCCACGCCATTCTCTTCCACACGTAGCCAGAGGGATCTTTCTAAAACCGCACATCTGGTTACTCCCTTCACTCCACAAATCCTTCCGGGACGCCCTGTGGCCTGCAGGATAAAGCCCCACCTCTGCGGGAATGGCGTGTGAGGCTCTTCACCAACTGGCCTTGCCTGCCCTGTGTTCTCCTCTCCTGCCCGCCCCCACACATGCCCTGTGCTCCAGCCACACTCAACAGCGCCTTGCAGTCTAAGGAGAACCCCATGCCTTTGGACATGCTGTTCCTCCTGCCTGGAATTCCCTTGTCCGCCTGGTGAACTCCTCGTTCTGCAAGACTCCGCTCAAACAGCACCTTCGAGAAGACTGCCCTGCCCCTTCCCTACCCTGCCCTTGTCTTCCCTCCCTTGGGTCCCCAGACCTTGTGTACACCCTGTGTACGACTGTGGGGCTGCTTCCCACACATGGGGCCCAGCGAGCCTCCCTTGGCCTCCCTTCACCATCAGACTCAGCCCCTCCAAGGGCAGGGACTGTCTTTATCTTTGCGTCCCCCGCTGCACCCCGTGCCCCACCTGTTGGGGGACTCGGTGGATGGTGTGCGGGCGGATGGGTGAGTGAGCGGATGAAGGTGGGTCTGAGGTTGGCCCTGTGTGGTATGAGGTTTGGCGGTCAGGACCTGGGGTGGGGTGGGGGTGGTCCTGAGTGTTGGCTGCTGGGTTTGGAAGAGTGTGGCACTATGGAGACCTGCTCTGATCCCCAGGTCCCGCAGCCCCCGGAAGCCAATAGACTCCCTCCGGGATTCCCGGTCCCTCAGCTACTCGCCCGCTGAGCGCCGCCGCCCCTCACCCCAGCCCTCACCGCGGGACCAGCAGAGGTACAGTCGCCACTGTGCTCTCCTGCCAATTGCCCAGTCTAGCTGCTGCTTTCTGCAGAATGTTGTTTTAAGGCTCCAAGGTACCAGGTGTTGGTGATGTGCTCTGTGTGGTCTCATGATGGTTCTCTGTTGCAGCAGCAGCGAGCGGGGTTCCCGGAGAAGCCAGCGTGGGGACAGCCGCTCCCCTGGTCACAAGCGCAGGAAGGAGACACCCAGCCCCCGCCCCGTGCGGCATCGCTCCTCGAGGTGAGTCCTTGTCACACTGCGGGGCTGGGCTCACTGCTGAGAGCGCCGGGCTGCCTGGGCCTCTGCACTGATGACTCTCTTCCGTTTCAGGTCTCCGTGAATCCTTTCAGGGGAATTCCATCCTGCCCCAAGTTCTGGAGCCGTGGGGCGCGCCCTCCTTTTCTCCCCAACAGAGCCGGGGGATGGGGTCTTGTCTGCCCTCCCCCAACCCTGGCAACATCCCATGGGGGAGGGCTCCCTTATTTCCTTCCCTCCTTTTTTTTCTTTGTTCTGTGAAATGTTAATCTCCGTGAGTTTTTCCTGGTTCACATGTTTTGGGGGGTTTGGGGTGGGTTGGGAATGAGAATGGGAGTTGCGGGAGGGGAGGATATGGTTTGGGACTCCCAGGTCTTGACTCAGAAAGGACTTTGAAGGCACTGCCCCTCTTTAACCCTGAGTTCCTGGGGGGATGATGGTTTGGAACCTGCAGACCTGTGCGAGTTACACCCAGAAGGAAGGGGAGTTGACATCAGTTGGCTCCTCCTGGCCTCCCAGTGAGGTTGTGGCCCCTCCCCCCAACTTTTCTTCACGTTTCTTAAAGGCATTTTGGTTTTTTAAAATCTGTACAGCAAGAGCAACTTTTTCTGTCAAATAAAAATGAGAAATGCAGGAATTCGGTCTACAAACTTTATTGGGGGTGGGAGGGCTAGGAGAGGAGCTGCTTTTGCTTTCTGGCTGCATCCCCTGCCCCCAAGGGCCACGTCTTAGGGGAGCCTGGTGAGGCTGCCTAGATCCCCCACAGAACCCAGCCAGCGTGCTGGGAGGGGCTGCCCTGGAGAAACAAAGCACAAGATCCTTTTTGTTCCCAGGCTGAGAAGGCTGGGCTGGAAGAGGCTGAGGGTGGGCCACACAACAGGGAGGGGGATGCCTGAGTCAGGAGAGGGTGTGCAGAAAAAGGCAGCAACCAGGTGGACACCCAAATCTTTTATTGAGAGGGGACAGTTGGGGAGACCTCTCACTGCACAGCCTGTTCATTGGCGCTGCTTCCTGAGTCCTGTGGCTTCATCACATCCGGCAGCTCAGGTGGGCTGGAGAAGGGCTCGATGCGCAGGGCCTCGAATGCCTCATCTGGGGGAGAGAAAAGGGGGCCTTGCTGGAGTTGGGGCGGCCTCCGCTGCCCTCCCCCAGCCTGGCCACGCGGGGGCCCTCTTCCTTACCCTCTGTCTCCTTGAGTGAGCCTCTGGGCTTATCTGCATCCACCTACAATCTCCCCCCATCTCCCCATTCCCTTCACACTTCTTCCTGCTTCACATCATGCCATTATGTTGCTCCACATGTTCCCACATCAAGCTTTTTCTTGCCTTGCCCTCTGCCACTTAGAATGGCTGCTGCCTCCTAGCACCCAAGGGCATTCAGATATCACCTTGTTCCTCTTCAGAGAAACCTTCCCCAGGCACCCTATACAGTCCCTCTGTTCCCAATGCCCAGGACACACAACCACCAGTTGGGAATGCCCCATTTCTCAGGACCACTGCTCTACTAGGAACAGCGGGTCCCAGGATGCTTAACCTATCTTGTTCTCAGAGCAACTGAACTGCACTTTTTCTTCTGCATGAAAAACCTCTCCACCTGGCTCAGGATCTCAACCAATTAGGCTCCCTGGCTAATCTTGAAACTGGCCTCTAGTGGGGAGATGACTATCTCTACTAGGAGCCAGAGATGCTAAGCATCCTGCAATGCAGATGACATCACCACCAGAATCATCCAGCCCCAATGTTAACAGTGAAGACACCTGGCCCAGCTTAATCACCTCTCCCCATTCTCTGTGGAAATGGTCTGCAAGGTGCCATTTAGCACTTGACACTGTCATCATAGCTCCCTACCTACGCAGCCACTTTGGGGGGTAGAGACCTGTCTCTACACAGGGAGACAACTCCCCACCCATAAGTGTACTTTGTGAGTAGAATCAGCCTGTCTTCAGTCCACACCACAGCCCCCATCAAAATGGCAATTCCTTACCTGAGGTGCTGCCACCCAAGGTGCAGTCACCACAATGTATGCCACAACTGGGGGTCATGGGGAAAAACCACCTCACTGCACTGTGACAGTTTTCACCTGCAAGATGGTTGAGGTGCTGCAAGTCCACAGAGTGCCTTTGTTCAAATCAGAGGAACAGATACTTTCTCTTGGATACATGCACATACTTGCAGCCTGGCCTAGCTTAGGAAGAACACATGTACTTTCAGCCCTCCCCTACCTGCCTCAGAGAACACATTTATAGAGCACTGCACCTGCCTGCCCACGACTGAGACTCAAGGGAACCCACAGAAAGGCCCCCAGAATTGCCTTTTCCTGAGTACCCATGGGGTCTGGGTGCACGAGGGCTCGCCCCCTCGCTGTGAGGCTGGTCCCGGAGTCCTCTTTGGAGACCACGCCAGTCTGGGAGGCACGGGGCATGAAGTAGCTGTTCGAGGACACAGCTGCTGAGGCTTCACTTGCTTTGTCCTCAACAGAACAGGATATTTGTGAGGCTAAAGTGTAACTGAGGCTATATGCTCCCTCCTGAGCCCTCGCTAAGATTTCTTACAAGCTATAAAAATAAACTTGTAGCTTCATCCAAATTCACCAGCCCCTGGGTCTACAACTGTGAAAAGACCCTATAACCCCTGTTTAGATTTTCAGAGGCAAAGGATAAAATTTAAATCTTTTTCTTGGGAGAAAGAGATACACTGGAGCAACATAACCACCCCCACCACTCAGGTATCTTAAGCTTTGGTCAGGCTGGCACGCGGTTGAGCAGAGTATCGGCTCTGAGGGCAAGAAAGGGCAGAACCCAATCTAGCCTCTGCAGGCTAAGCTCACTCATCCTTAAAATGATCCTAATAAAAGTCTGCCCAGTACAGAGATGCACCATGGAGACAGCAGGTGGCATGGCTCAAATAAGGTGGCCCCGCTCAAACAAGGGCCTGGCAGCCTGCATCTGAGACTGACAGCAAGCCTGGGCATCCGAGGCTCCCAAATGGGGATGGCAGTGCTTACCCCTCAGGGCTAGCCAGAGGACTGGACTGGACTGGACAATGGAAATAAAATGCAGAGTGCAGGGCCAGGCCTTTAGTCCTCTGTAAGTGTAAGCCAGTACTGTGACTAAGGATCTGTGAATCTTCCAAGTAATGGGTTTCAGCTTCCACAAGCATCTCACATGCTTTACATTGCTTGTATTTGGTGTACGGGGAGACGGGGTTCACGAGATTTGGAGGAACAACTGCAGGCTCCCTGAACACCCCTTTCACTGGCTGTTTCCACCCTGTCGCTGCCCCTCTCACCTGCCCTGAAGGCTAGCCCCACAGTAGCGGGGGCCTGAGGCCGTGCTGTCTGACTGGTGAAGCCACACTCGCCCAACGTCTTGCCGTCGTCCAGAAGCTGGTCGTCCTGAGGAGAGAGGAAGGCATGGTCTTAGGAGAGGCCCCAAGAGGGGCAAGGCACAAAGACTTCTCTGGTCAATAGTTACACTGAAAGTCACAAGAGGGAAGAGACACAGCCCCAAGTAGGGCCCAGAACCACCCCAGAGTATGTAAGTTTCCAGGGCTACACCCAAGACTCTCCATATCAGAATCTCCCAGGATAGGGCTCTGGAATCTCCCCTGCTCCCCACCCCCCCACCCCCTAACTCTAGGTGAATGCAATTTCAAGTGCCAGTGAACCAATCTGGCCACAGGTAGATTTGGTTGCACCCCAGCTCTACCACCTTGGACAAACAGGTTCCTTTGATGTGAAGTTTTCTTATCTGTAAAATACAAGTTATTGGAATTCTCAATTCATAGGGCAGCCAAGAGGCTTCAATGAGCAAAGGACACACAGTAGAACAAACTCAGGCAGCAGGAAACGTCCTTATCACAGAAATCCCAGTAGATGAGGAAAAAAAGCCTTTACAGACAAAGGGAGTGGAGCAAAAGATCAGTTTCCAGGCAGAAGCAGATCAATGCACTTGGGTGAGCGACCTCTTGCCGAAAGACTTGAAAGAGGGGCGATACTCTGGACTGCCCCCAAAACGCCAAACCCCAAGCCATCCTTGCTGAGTAATTGCGATTGGTTTGTAAGGGGAAACGGAGGAGGGCAGGGGGCTTTTAGAACATTACCAGTAAACTGAGGAGTAACAAACAGTTGTTGGGGGAAGAAGTGGTGGGACCTGACGCATTTCAACACCCTCCATTTCTTTACATTAAAGAGTGTCTGGGCCGAGGGGCGAGGGATAGGCTTTCAGAGGATTAAGAGCATCGCGGCTAGCATCGCGGCTGAAATCCTGACTCTACCAACGACCTTGGGTTGGTCAACTGGCCACCTCCGAGCCTCAGTTTTCTTCACGGCCGAGCTAGGAAGTCAAGCGCCAGAACGTCGCAAGGGGACCGTAGTTAAGAATGAGATGAGACGCCGGCCCTCGGCGCTCAGCATAGGGTCTGGCGCGAGCAGCTCACGCCCTCCTAATCGAGAACCTCGGTGCAGTGAGCGCTATCGGGGCTTCACCTCCCCGAGTTCGAGCAACGGCCCCAAGCGGGGGAGTTCCGGCCCGCGGAGGCCGGTCGCCGATGTTTACATCAACGACGCTGCCGCCGTGCGCCCACGGGCGCCTGCAGCCCCCGGGCGCCCGGAACCTACGGGACCGCACCTTGTACAGCCGCTGCTCATCCGGCGGCCGCTTGAGGATACCCTCGACGATGCGCTTCAGCTCGAACACGGTGCTCGACTCCTTGGCGTCCGTGAAGATCGCCCAACGGCCCCGCCCCGTACCGCCATTTTAAGTAATCCGCCGGGGCGGGGCGCTCCGGCCGAGTGTCTGGCCGCCATCTTGGCGCCGTGGCGCGGGCGGGGCCGGTTGGCGGAGTGGGGGAGGCGGTGGAGTCGGGCGGGGACCGAGCGCGGGAGGGACTGTGGGCGGTGGAGCCATCTTGGTTGTGGCAAAGGCGAGGTCCGCGTGTTGATGCAGTCAGGCGGAGGCCTGGGCGCAAGTCCATCATTCTTGCAGGGAATACAGGGCTGAAGTTCGCAAGTGTAGGGTGCCTCACGTCCCAAGGAGAGTGTATGAATGGTATGTCTTGGTCATCGCGGAGTCAAGACAGTCACATCACAGAGAGACCTGGGCTGCCGTAGACGTGGTATTCATCACAGTCAGACCTAGTAATCTGACTCATGATTATGGAACTCCCTGGTGGCCATTTTGAGCAGGTGTTAAATTCCGGATCTTTCGGCCACCGTATCAGAAAACTGTACTGTCTCCCCCGACAGCCTAGGTTGTGAGGATTATTTAAACCAGTTTAGCGAGGCTTTAGGCCCTGTAAGGACCCTTGAATGCTGTTGTTGGTGTGAGGCAGTGTGAAAGCAGCTCTTTGCAGGAAACTGCCCTCAGTAGGAAGCTCCTTTTCTTGTTACTAGCAAAGCTAAATTGTAAACAAGTTTTGAACGAGCACGCACATCCCCTCCTTGAAACCATGCTTTACCCATCTCTAGGCTAAGCACACCTTTCAAATTTTTAATCGCACAGTATCTTGCCATATTCTTTCCACAGATCAAAAAAGGAGAAATGAAGAATTCAGCAGGTGACTGGATTGCTTCCCTAGCCTCTACTTCAGTAATCTGAACAAACTATGAACAAGATAGCCTCTAGAGGAAGAGCACAAGAAGTTGACTACATGGGTGAAACAGGAGGGAAGCGGGAAGGCACAACTTTTGAAAGAATGACATAACCAGAGGGCATAGCACAAACCGATTAGAACCAAATGGGTCCAAGGTGGCAGACAAATCAAGTTGACTAGACCTTGCTCCTCAGTATAAAATAATTATAACACAGCAGCAATCTAATGTGAGCCACCATGACAGTTTGGCCCTCAAAGATCTCAAAGGTTGACCCTCAAAGACCAAAAAGTGGGCAGTGACTCAACCCCTGGAAATCTCCAACCCCTTCCCCAAAATAGTTGGAATAATCCTCCCACTCATTAGCCTGTCCCCGGAGTAGGAAATGGCAACCCACTCCAGTATTCTTGTCTGGAGAATCCATTGGACAAACTAGCCTGGCGGGCTACAGTCCCTGGGGTCGCAGAGAGTCTGACACGAGTGAGTAACACTAACACATTAGCCTATGAAATTACCCAGCCCATAAAAGCTAACCACACCATATTTTAAGGCCACAGCACTCACCCTCTGCGACGGCCTGCACGCTATGGAGTGTGTTTCTTTCTGAATAAATACATTTCTTAGCTATCACTTCGTGTCTCACTGAATTCTTTCTGATATGAGGTTTGTTAGGTCCTGAAACCAGGTCTGAGATCTCAGTTCGAAGACTATTGGTTTTGGCCGGGTTCAAGTCCCAAACTTGTGAGTTTAAGTCCCAAGCAATGTTTTGGCTGAGTTGGAGCCCCAGCACATGGATTCAAGTTCCAATCTGAGGTAAACAGTTTCATAGGGTGATGGTGACAATTCTGACACACAGTCTCAAGGACTAACTGAGATTTCTTCCCTTTAAAAGTTTTTGGGGGAGGTTGAGTCCACCATCTCCCCAGATTGCCAGCATTCTGACCTGCCTATTGAGAAACTTGTATGCAGGTCAGGAAGCAACAGTTAGAACTGGACGTGGAACAACAGACTGGTTCCAAATAGGAAAAGGAGTAGGTCAAGGCTGTATATTGTCACCCTGTTTATTTAACTTATATGCAGAGTACATCATGAGAAACGCTGGGCTGGAAGAAGCACAAGCTGGAATCAAGATTGCCGGGAGAAATATCAATAACCTCAGATATGCAGATGACACCACCCTAATGGCAGAAAGTGAAGAGGGCCTAAAGAGCCTCTTGGTGAAAGTGAAGGAGGAGAGTGAAAAAGTTGGCTTAAAGCTCAACATTTAGAAAACTAAGATCATGGCATCTTGTCCCATCACTTCGTGACAAATGAATGGGGAAACAATGGAAACAGTGGCTGACTTTATTTTGGGGGGCTCAAAAATCACTGTAGATGGTGATTGCAGCCATGAAATTAAAAGATGCTTACTCCTTGGAAGGTAATTTATGACCAACCTGGACAGCATATTAAAAAGCAGAGACATTACTTTGTCAACAAAGGTCTGTCAAGTCAAGGCTATGGTTTTTCCAGTGGTCATGTATGAATGTGAGAGTTGGACTATAAAGCTGAGAGCACCAGAATTGATGCTTTTGAACTGTGGTGTTGGTGAAGACTCGTAAGAGTCCCTTGGACTGCAAGGAGATCCAACCAATCCATCCTAAAGGAGATCAGTCCTGGGTGTTCACTGGAAGGACTGATGTTGAAACTGAAACTCTAATACTTTGGCCACCTCATGCGAAGAGCTGACTCATTGGAAAAGACCCTGATGCTGGGAGGGATTGGGGGCAGGAGGAGAAGGGGACAACAGAGGATGAGATGGTTGGATGGCATCACCAACTGGATGGACTTGGGTTTGGGTAGACTCCGGGAGTGGGCGATGGACAGGGAGGCCTGGCGTGCTGTGGTTCATGGGGTTGCAAAGAGTCAGACACGACTGAGTGACTGAACTGAACTAATTAAAAGCACCTTTCTTTTGCCACCAACATTTGTGAGTATATAATTGATTTTGTGAGTGGCAAGCAGTAGGACCTCCATTTGATAACTAATTAGGCCATCGAACAGCCTAACTTGTTAGAAGCACCATGCATGGCCAAAGTTGGTGTTCCGTCTTCCCAGGCAGAGGGTGCCCTGGGCACCTACCTATTCTTCTGCCCAGGTCCACTGTAGCTCTTGAAGGGCATGTGGACTTTGCTTCCCTGTCTGGCCACCCCTCATCCCTACTAACAGCCTAGGACTTCCTCCTTGGACACTCTCCTGTGTCACCCCAAATTGCAGTTATGCGAGAGCAAGGCAAGGAGGCTTTTCTCACAACCTCTCCCAGGGAGAAGGAGAATCTCATCTGGGTCATTGCAGGCATGTGCCAGAGAGGCATGCTGTGGCAGCACTGAGAAATGAGCCAGTGGTGATCCTGGATGCTGAGCAGCTCAGTAGTTACCGAGGCCACAAACTGGTAATTCTGTGAAGTGGGCAGAATCTGAAGATGCTGCTGCCTTGGCCCCTGAATCAGGTTGGTGGCTAGCCATGCAGGCTCTGGTCTCAGACCTGCTGAGATTCAAATCCTTGCTCTGGCACTGAGTGTGCAGCCTTGGGCAGTTAACCTCACTAAAGCCCAGTTTCCACCTCTCTGAAGCGGCAGAATAGCTGTTTGTAAAGTTTGTGGAGCCTTACTGTAAGCAGATGGGGGTGTGTGTCCCTGGAGAAAGTGAACCTAGTATGGTTTTATTGACAGAAGAGAAGCCATTTTTGGCCTAGGCCATTTTGTGATCTAAGCCTGGCCTCAAGGCAACCCCCTTCATGAATATGCATGTACCCTTAGCTTAAAACTTCCTCACTTCTGCTGTCCAGGGAGACACTGCTTTTGAAGAGATACTCAAAGTGTTCTCCTCACTTGCCACAAATAATAATGAATCCTTACTTCTTGGTTGTGTCTTTTTGCTCAACACCCACTAAGAAGCAAACCCAGCTTTTGGGTAATATCACCGAGAGTTAGTACTCAATAAATATAGATGTTTCCTAAACTATAGCCATAGTTATGATTTTTGACTTCTGACCTCTGGCTCCTTAGGAGTCCTCTGAAGCCCCTTTCCTTCCTGGGTCTCCTCCCTCCCTAGGCCTCAAGGCAGCCCTTCCCCTCACATGGGATCTCTATGCACCCTACGGTGCTGTGGTGGGGGGTAGGTTGCAGGAGATAACTTCCGTCCTCGTGTCAGTGAGTACAATGACACCTCCTGCAGGGAGCAGGGGGTCAGGAGAGGCTTGAGGGAGGTGTAGAGGTTCAGCCCCCAGCCCCCAGCTCTGTAGCTGGGTGCAGACCCTCCTCAAGATGGCAGGTAAGGCAGCTGGCCAGCTGCTCTTGCTTTCCTGCACAGGAAGTCCGCCTGGGTCCTTTCTGCCCTGTTGCTTCAACCACTCAAAGCTCACCATGGAAACTCTCCCTGGCTTCTAAACTAAGTGTGTAGGGTCTTGGCTGGTGGACCTTCTCCTTTGCTCTATTTAAATTTCTTAAAATGTTATTAATGAATAGCAATTGTCAGGGACTTCCCTGGTGATCCAGTGGCTAAGATTGTGTGCTCCCAATGCAGGGAGCTGGGGGCTTCCCAGGTGGCTCAGTGGTAAAGAACCACTTGCCAATGCAGGGGATATAAGATACACAGGTTCGATCCCTGGGTCGGGAAGATCCCTTGGAAGAGGGCATGGCAACCCACTCCACTATTCTTGCCTGGAGAATCCCAAGGACAGAGGAGCCCGGTGGACTACAGTCCATGGGGTCACAAAGAGTTGGACATGACTGAAGTGACTCAGCACGCATGCACTGGGTTTGATTCCCTGGGCAGGGAACTAGATCCCACATGCCGCAACTAAGACCCAGTGCAGCCAAATAAACAAAATACATATTAAAAATAAATAGTAATTGTCAATCACTGCTAGTTACTAGTGTGTCATTCATTTCTAGCATTTTACAACTATTTTCTATAAGGGAAGTGACATAACTCACTGTGGAATTTGAGTCCATGGCCCAGATTCAAATCTGGCTTCACATCCTGCCTGCTGTGGGTCGTGGGGCACATAACCTAGCCTCTTTGGGCCTGTTTCCCTATTCATGAAACGGGAACACCTCCCGAGTGTTCAGAGATCAGTTGAGAGCCCACCAATGCCTGGCACAACCCGAGTGCTCGCTGGGCAGATGGCTCGCTGAGTCATTTTGACTCACCTGACAGCCCTAATGGGGCAGATGTTACCAGGTCAGATCACAGATCTGAAACAGGTGCATCAATACTCCTGGGAGAGGCTGGGCCATCTGGCTGCAGCGCTACCAACTGGAGCAGGTGAAAGGCTAAAAAATACCTGCATGGAGAGAAGCCCAGCGTCCTGTCCCCGGCAGGGGTGGTTCTCAGGGCTACTCTGAATGCCCCTCCTGGCAGGTCAGGCAGGCTTTCTGAGGCCTGCGGGGACGGGGTGCAGCGTGAGACTGATGCTGGGCCCAGTCTACCCCTCACACACCCCCTCCGGGCTCACTGGCCTTGCTGATGGCGGGATGCAGCGGCGCAGGGTGCTGTCCACTGAGCCTGCGGGCACAGAGGAGCAGTAGAGTCTGCATTACACCTCCTGGGCCCTTGTACCCCCATTCCCGAGAGCCGCAGCTGAGCCCCCGAGCCCGTGCTCTGCAACGAGAGAAGCCACCGCAAGGGGAAGCTTAAGTGTCGCAGCCAGAGAAAGACTGTACAGCAATGAACGCCCACCACAGCCAGAATTTAAATAAATAAATAAAAAATATAAATTATATAGAAGTAAATTATATATATATAAAAGAAACACTGAGCTCTGAATGGGCCCCATTACTCTGATCATGGCAGGCCCAAGGCTGAAGCATCCTGGCTCTTAGTCCCTGGCTTGTTCTGGTCTCAATGCCTTGGGAGGCGTCTTGAGGATGTTCTCTTGGCAGGCCCCAGGCTGAGGGCGGGATGGGAGGACAGTCAGCATCGCCCAGCCGGGGCTACTAGGGCCCCACTGCGATACGCTCACAGCCTTTCGCCTGGCCCGCCATGGCCAACCTCTGCCTACGATGGATGGCACTCAGCCTAGGGGAGGCGGCAGCCTGGAGCTCACTCGCTGTTCACATACCCACCCTCCTTCCCAGCCGGGTCTGGCCCAGCAGCCACCACCTGCTGCAGTCACTTTTTTCCCCTGGGACAAAAGAACAAAAAAGGAGGGGGAGTTCCCTGGCAGTCTGCTGGTGGGGACTCAGCACTTTCACAGCAGAGGGCAGTGGTTCAATCCCTGGTTGGGGAACTAAGATCCCACAAGACACATGGAGTGGCACAAAAAAAGAAAAGAAAAGGAAGGGAGCCACGGCTCAGGCCTGCGCGGGAGCAGCCGCACTCAGCGCCGTCCAGCCAGGCTGCCCCTTCAGGAGCAGCCCCCCTCGCTCCCCTGCCACCCCCCGCCCCTGTCAGCTCCGAAGGTTGGAGTCTCCAGGTTCTGTTCAGGTTCATGTTCCTCCTGATGCTCTAGAAACTTAGCTCTGTCTACATAGGTGGATGACCCTTGGCCTGGGGGTGAGAAGATGGCAGAGGGGGCGAGGACACCAGGTACCAGCACGTGAGGGTGGTCAGGGAGCTGAAAGGGCCTAGGTCTCCAGGTGCAGGTGGGGCAGGGAGGTCCTGGGCCGGGAAGCCCAGACCCACCCAGGGCACGGAAGGGGGGAGTGGCAGAAAAAGCTAAGGACAGCAGAAACTACGGCCAGGCCTACCTGGGGGCCCCTCTTGGTAAAGAGCATGATGCCAAGTGCCCCAGGCTCCTGAATGCATGGGAAGGCCAGGGCTGGTGGCCGCCAACCTGCCTCCTGGGGCACCTTCACTACAGCGGGGCAAATAGGAGTTTTCTACTGCTATGGCAGATGACTACAGACACAGCAGCTTAAACACTAATTTATTACATCACAACCCTGTGGGTGGGCTCAATGGGCTGAAATCAAGGGAATAGACTGTCAGGTCTCTGGTCCGCAGGCTGGGGGAGGAGTTGTTGGCCTCCAAGCCTGTTCAGGTTATTGGCCAAATTTGGTCCCGTGCAGCTGTTGTGCCGAGGCGCTCCTCTTCCCACTGGCTGTCTGCCAGGGGCCACCCTCGGCTCCTCGCTATGTGGCCCCTCCACCTTCAAAGCTAGCAAAGGACGATCGTCTCCTTGGGGTTGGGTCCTGGTCACGTTTGAATCTCTCTGACTCCTTCCGGAAAAGAGAGGCACACAGACCAGACCCAGCACTGACTCACTTGCCTGTCTCTGGGTGCCTTGGCTGGAGTTCAGGGCGGGTGAATAACAGCAGGAAGGGAACAGAGGGCATGTGAGACCCCTAGACACACGGGAGGCTCCTAGAGGAGGGTTGGCAACTCGCATTTGGTGAGCTCCATGGAGGATGCCGGGGACAGACAGACGAATGGATGGATGGGTGGCTCCTTGGCTTTATCAGGCCTCTGAGCCTTCGGTCAGAAGGGTGAGGGATGTGTCGGTCCCCAGACAGACTGGGCAGCCGAGGGTCCCCAGAGTCTGGCTTCAGGTCAGTCACTGCATCAGATGTTGAGGTGAGCCTGAATCCAAGGGCTGTAGGTGGCCACATTGGTATAGACCCCTGGACGGTTGGGCAGGGCACAGCCCTTGCCCCAGCTCACCACACCCACCAGGACCCAGTTAAATTATATATATATAAAAGAAACACTGAGCTCTGAATGGGCCCCATTACTCTGATCATGGCAGGCCCAAGGCTGAAGCATCCTGGCTCTTAGTCCCTGGCTTGTTCTGGTCTCAATGCCTTGGGAGGCGTCTTGAGGATGTTCTCTTGGCAGGCCCCAGGCTGAGGGCGGGATGGGAGGACAGTCAGCATCGCCCAGCCGGGGCTACTAGGGCCCCACTGCGATACGCTCACAGCCTTTCGCCTGGCCCGCCATGGCCAACCTCTGCCTACGATGGATGGCACTCAGCCTAGGGGAGGCGGCAGCCTGGAGCTCACTCGCTGTTCACATACCCACCCTCCTTCCCAGCCGGGTCTGGCCCAGCAGCCACCACCTGCTGCAGTCACTTTTTTCCCCTGGGACAAAAGAACAAAAAAGGAGGGGGAGTTCCCTGGCAGTCTGCTGGTGGGGACTCAGCACTTTCACAGCAGAGGGCAGTGGTTCAATCCCTGGTTGGGGAACTAAGATCCCACAAGACACATGGAGTGGCACAAAAAAAGAAAAGAAAAGGAAGGGAGCCACGGCTCAGGCCTGCGCGGGAGCAGCCGCACTCAGCGCCGTCCAGCCAGGCTGCCCCTTCAGGAGCAGCCCCCCTCGCTCCCCTGCCACCCCCCGCCCCTGTCAGCTCCGAAGGTTGGAGTCTCCAGGTTCTGTTCAGGTTCATGTTCCTCCTGATGCTCTAGAAACTTAGCTGTCTACATAGGCGGATGACCCTTGGCCTGGGGGTGAGAAGATGGCAGAGGGGGCGAGGACACCAGGTACCAGCACGTGAGGGTGGTCAGGGAGCTGAAAGGGCCTAGGTCTCCAGGTGCAGGTGGGGCAGGGAGGTCCTGGGCCGGGAAGCCCAGACCCACCCAGGGCACGGAAGGGGGGAGTGGCAGAAAAAGCTAAGGACAGCAGAAACTACGGCCAGGCCTACCTGGGGGCCCCTCTTGGTAAAGAGCATGATGCCAAGTGCCCCAGGCTCCTGAATGCATGGGAAGGCCAGGGCTGGTGGCCGCCAACCTGCCTCCTGGGGCACCTTCACTACAGCGGGGCAAATAGGAGTTTTCTACTGCTATGGCAGATGACTACAGACACAGCAGCTTAAACACTAATTTATTACATCACAACCCTGTGGGTGGGCTCAATGGGCTGAAATCAAGGGAATAGACTGTCAGGTCTCTGGTCCGCAGGCTGGGGGAGGAGTTGTTGGCCTCCAAGCCTGTTCAGGTTATTGGCCAAATTTGGTCCCGTGCAGCTGTTGTGCCGAGGCGCTCCTCTTCCCACTGGCTGTCTGCCAGGGGCCACCCTCGGCTCCTCGCTATGTGGCCCCTCCACCTTCAAAGCTAGCAAAGGACGATCGTCTCCTTGGGGTTGGGTCCTGGTCACGTTTGAATCTCTCTGACTCCTTCCGGAAAAGAGAGGCACACAGACCAGACCCAGCACTGACTCACTTGCCTGTCTCTGGGTGCCTTGGCTGGAGTTCAGGGCGGGTGAATAACAGCAGGAAGGGAACAGAGGGCATGTGAGACCCCTAGACACACGGGAGGCTCCTAGAGGAGGGTTGGCAACTTGCATTTGGTGAGCTCCATGGAGGATGCCGGGGACAGACAGACGAATGGATGGATGGGTGGCTCCTTGGCTTTATCAGGCCTCTGAGCCTTCGGTCAGAAGGGTGAGGGATGTGTCGGTCCCCAGACAGACTGGGCAGCCGAGGGTCCCCAGAGTCTGGCTTCAGGTCAGTCACTGCATCAGATGTTGAGGTGAGCCTGAATCCAAGGGCTGTAGGTGGCCACATTGGTATAGACCCCTGGACGGTTGGGCAGGGCACAGCCCTTGCCCCAGCTCACCACACCCACCAGGACCCAGCGCCCAGACTTCATGCAGACCAGGGGTCCTCCAGAGTCACCCTGCAGGAGAAAGGAGAGCTTAGGTCCCAGCCCCCCAGGGACTCTGGGTCCCAGGCTGCCATCCCTCAGTGGTGCCTCTGGGTCGGGGTTCAGTACACTGAGCCTGCAGGTGGTACATCCTGGGTCCCGGGTTCTAAGGAGATAGGGTGCTGGCCACAGGGGCGTGGGCCCCAGACGTTCTAGGCAGCTTCTCGCACCTGGCAGGCATCCTTCTGGCCCCCAACGTAGCCGGCGCACAGGCTCCCTGGCAGTACTATGTGCTCGACCCGGGGCACGTTGGTGCCCTGGTGGTAGAGGTGGTCACAGGTGCGAGCGTCCAGCAGTGGCACCCTCACTCCCTGCAAGGGTCGCCACTCCGGGAGCGGCACTGGAGGAGAAGGGGGAGGTCTAAGAGGTGGCAGAGACTTCTCAGATGGCACTAGTGGTAAAGAACCCGCCTGCCAATGTAGGAGACTTAAGAGGTGTGGGTTTGATCCCTGGGTTGGGAAGATCCCCTGGAGGAGGGCATGGCAACCAGTATTTTCGCTTGGAGAATCCCATGGACCGAGGAGTCTGGTGGGCTACAGTCCGTGGGGTTGCAAGAGTCGGACACCCAGGAAGAGCCCGCAGAGGGTGAGGTGGAAAGCAGGTATTGGTGGGAAAAGCCTCACCTGCCAGCCCAGGGTTCCCTGGCCTGACAGGGAGGATGTCTGAGTCCCTGGAGGTCAGAGCGAGCTGGGGAGAGAGCCCCTGGCCCTCCCCCAGTGCCCCTGTGCCCTGCCTTCTGCCTCACCTCCTGGGCGAAGGCTGCCCCAGCCAGTGACCCAGCAGGGTGTGCCAGGAGGTGGGCGGGCCCCAGGCTCGGGCAGGCAGACGGGCTGGACTCGGGTGCTCAGGGGTGCTGGGCGGCGCAGCAGCAGCAACGCCAGGTCCCCGCGGGCCCCGTCCTCCGAGTAGTCCGGGGGCAGCAGCACCCTCCGCACGGGCGCCAGGAGAGCAGGGGGCGAGCTGGGACCCAGGTGCAGCGCCCCGAGGCGCACGCGGTACTCAGCGGGCAGCGCCTTCCTGCGTGACGGGGCGCTAGGTCTAAATAAACCAGCTCCCCCTCCAGCCCAGGAGCGCTCATCCCCGCCGCCCTCTCTCTTAGAGCCCGAGGTGAGACTTGTGCGAAGTCTGGGCGTGGGGTCCCCGTGGTTGTGGGACGCTGGAACAAGGGCTGTGCCCTGCCCAACCACCCGGGGGTCTGTACCAACATGGCCCCCTACAGACTCCGGATCCAAGACCTTCCCTGGGTCTTGCTCCACCCGCCCCGCCCCGGCAAACCTCGACGAGGAGCCCTAGGGGTAGGGGACCGTCCCTAGGCNGTGGGACCGGGGTTCGGGAAGGGTGGGGCCGGGGAGACGGGGAGCGGGGTTATGGAGGGGTAGGCACAGGGGGTTTCTGCGGCTTCCTTACCTTCAGATGCCAGGGTCCCGGCTGCTCCTGGAGGTGGAAGCAGGGTAGGGACTGGATTAAGGGTCTGGTGTCAGGTAACGGGGTGACGGGGAGGGCGGTCACAGATTAGGAAGGAGGGTGGCATGTATATGTCGCACTGACTTGATGCCAGATTTTTGTGCAATCGGCTACAGGATTAAACCCTCCCCAGATCCCTGTGAGGTGGGGACGTACACCCATTACAGAGACGAGCACAACCAGAGTCAGAGAGCCCAAGGTCAGTGACAGAACTTGAACCCCTGGAGCCAGTAGTGGGGGTGTGCTAGGTCACTTCAGTCATGTCCGACTCTATTCAACCCCAGGGACTGTAGCCCACCAGTTCATGGGGTTCTCCAGGCAAGAATGCTGGAGTGGGTTGCCATTTCCTTCTCCCAGGGATCTTCCCCACCCAGGGATTTAACCTGCGTCTCCTGTGGCTCCTGCATTGAGGCAGACTCTACCGCCGAGTCACTGGGGAAGCTCTGGAGCCAAGAATAGGATGCCTGAACTTCCCTGGTGGTCCAGTGGTTAAGAATCTGCCTCCCAATGCGGATTGGGAGACAGGTTCAATCCCTAGTTGGGGAAGATCCTACATGCAACAAGAGAAGCCACAGCAGTGAGAAGCCCACACACGGCAGCTAGAGAAAGCCTGGAAGGAGCAAGGAAGACCCAGTGCAGCCAAAAATAGAAAAAAGGGTAGGATGCCTTAGAGTGCTCTAGAGGAAGCAGGAAGGCTGGGCAGATGGAAGCCAACGCTCCTGTGGTCAGCACCCCCAGCCCCGCCCCCCACTTACCCAGCAGCAGTAGGAGCAGGACCTGGAGGGAGGAAGCCCACTTCATTCTGTCTTCAGGGCTGGGCCCAGTAAGGGTGGTACTGCCCAGGACTAGCCTGGCTGGAGCCAGGCAAGAGAAGAGGAGGATCAACCCCCGCCCCAACCCTGAGCTCCTTTTGTCTTCCTTCAGACGCTGGTTGGTCCCAGACCTAGCCCTGTGGCCCAGGTTCTATGCCCTATGCCCAGGCCCCAGGGACCACCCCTGCCCCCTCAAGTGCTGCACGATTTGGGCGCCTTAAGTCTCCATGCAAGCTCTGGAGCCCAGCCCCTCCCCCATCTTGTATTTCCCTGATAGGTGCCCCCCAACCCTGTTCCCCGCAGGCCCCGTATCCTTTTCTCACCCTTGCAGTTGGTGTCCTCCCTGCTAACTGGGCTGGGGGAGGATCTGGGGGCTTAAAGAGCCAGGAGGGGGGTGGGGGCCAGGAGGTAATTAAGGAGGTCAGGGCGGGGCTGTGGCTTCCTCAGTCCAGCCTTGAACAAAGATGCTTTGAACAGTGCTTTTGCTGTGGTAAGAAAGGGACACCTGGGTTTCTTGAAGGAAGCCTGGCTTGGGCCAAGGTGCATGGAACTGGGGGTGGGAGCCTGAGTCCAGCCAGGCAAGGGTGGAGTGGGGGGTGGGATGAACGGCATGGGGTGGGGATGGGGGCCTGGGCTGTACCCACCCCCTGGAAAGGCTCCTGAACCTCCTTTAACCAAGTCAGTGCCCCCTCCAGCAGCTGTCCACTTGGTTCCCCGTCCTGGGGGCCTTTCTGTCCAGCACACCCCCTCCTTGGCTGTGTCCCAAGGTGATGTGTGACAGGGGAGATCTGATTCATGCCTGTTTGTTTCCCCTCCATGAGGCAGGGTCTGGGTCTCTGTCCCTGTCTTAACGCAGGCTGCCAGGACAGCACACCACAGTGTCCGTCACTCAGTCGTGGCCAACTCTTTGCGACCGCACGGTCTGTCCATGGAATGCTCCAGGCAAGAATACTGGAGTGGTTTGCCACTGCCTTCTCCAGGGGATCTTCCCAATCCAGGGATCGAACCTGGGTCTTGTGCATGGCAGGTAGGTTCTTTACCATCTGAGCCCACAGACTGGGGCTCAAGTTCCATTCTGGAGGCTGGACGTCCAAGAACAAGGAACTGGCCAGATGTGAGCCTCTTCTCTTGGCTTGTAGGGGGCTGCCCTGCCATCTCACTGAGTGATCACACAGCCTTCTCTTTGTGTCTGCTGGGCATGAAGGGTAGTTGGGGGGGGGGTGCTGCTGTCTTTTTATCTTTTCTGGTTGTGCTGTATGGCATGAAGGATCTTAGTCCCCTGGCCAAGGATTGAACCCAGGCCCCCAGCAGTGGAAGCATAGAGTCCTAACCACTGTACTGCCAGGGAAGTCCCCTGGTGTCTCACTCTTTTTTTAAAAAAAAATTATTTATTTATTGGCTGTGTCAGGTCTTAGCTGTGGCAGGTGGGATCTAGTTCCCTGACCCGGGATCAAACTGGGCCCCCTGCATTGGGAGCTCAGAGTCCCAGCCACTGGACCATCAGGAAAGTCCCTGGTATCTCCTTCTATAAGGACACTAATAAGTCCACCCTATTACTTCATTTAATTACATCCAGAGTCATTGGGGTTAAAGATTCAACATATAAATTTTGGAAAGTTCACACGTGTTCTTCCCAGGTGGCTCAGTGGTAAAGAACCCACCTGTCAATGAAGGAGACACAGGAGACACGGGTTCAATCCCTGGGTCAGGAAGATCCCCTGGAGGAGGAAATGATAACCCACCCCAGTATTCTTGCCTGGAGAATCCCAGGGACAGAGGAGCCTGGTGGGCTACAGTCCACGGGATCACGAACAGCTGGACACGACTGAGCACATGCACAAATATCCAGTCCCCAATGGCAAGAGCAGTGCCGTCACGGAGTGGGCACTGAGTGTTCGGGAGTAAGTGCGAGGGGCCAGTAGGCACGGGGGGTGGCGAGGGTGAAGGAGACGAATGAGGGGAGCTAGTGGCGAACCAGCCCCAGGCCTTCCATGCAAAACAAGGGAGGGCGGCCTGGGGCCTGACTTCCACTGTCCACGGTCCAGGACCAGGCTCAAGCCCACGCTCCAGTCTCTGGAGCTGGTTTGTAGAATGTCGCCCCTCCCACCCCCGAGACCTTGGGAGAGTTTCCTCTTCTGTAAAACCCACCCCCCTCCCCAGGTGGTCGTGAAGTTTAACGGTTAGCCCTTGCAGTGCCTGGAACCGCGCCAGGCTGATGGAAACGCTCTAGAAGGGCCTCGAGAATAAAAGCAGCACTCTCCCTGAGGTGCCTGACCTTGGTTACCCCAGATCCAGCCGCCACTGGAGGACTTGGCTGCAGTGGACCCAAGTGGGCAGAGCTGGGGCAGCTGGAGAGGCTGGTGGGATGGAGAGTGACCCATGACTCTGGGGACACACAGCCATCTCTGGGGACGTGGGCCATACCTTGAGGGGGGGTTCACTGGAAGGCTGGATGCCCAGTCCAGCAGGGAAGCTGAGGGGGGCATCTACCTGTTGCAATTTGGGAGGCCTGGAGGACACTTGAAGGCAGGGACCCCGAAACAAATTCCTCCTGAGGAACTGGCTTATGGTGGGAGGATCTGAAGCTGGTTGACTAATGGGCAATCAAACCTGAGAGGAGTAGGAAGGGAACCCCTTCCCAGGGGTTTACCCCAACCCAGCTCCGTGCCTCAGATCGAGAAACTGAGGCACAGGCCCCTGCTGGCCCACATGCCCTCAGTCTCACCCCTGAGTCACCCTGCACAAACGGACCCTGGACAAATGTCACCTGCTTGCCCGTCTCAGCACCCTCCTCCTGGGGGCCAGGCGGAGGAGGCCAGCTTTTTCTGCTGCCGGACCTGCCCCGACTCCCAGGTATGGGCAAATGATCCAAACAGGGCCAGCATCCCACCATGGCCTCTAGGTAACAGTGATGGGTCGAGAGGTGACATGTGACCCCAGACCAGCCAATCAGAATCCTCCCCTGAGATTTTCACCCTGGAGGAGGGAGGGAGGGAGGACCAATCGGCCCAGACAGGGGAAGCCATGGCTGGGGCCACAGGCAAGGACTCTTAGCTGGCTCGAGAGCCTGGAATCTTCCAGACTGAGGAACAGTGCCCTGTAGAATTGGAGCTCCTCATTCCAGCCATCATTAGGCTCGGCGGGCTACCCTGTATCCTTCTAAACCAACTCTCCTTCACTCATGCTGGTTCTAAGGGTTGTAAGGCTGCTTCCAATCAAAGTCTTTAAGTGCCAAGAATGAAAACAAAGTAACATTCAACAAACGTGGAGGGGAGATGTGCCCCGAGCCGGCTGCCCTGCCAGTGTGTTTCAGGATGGCGGCACCCAGCCCACCGCATGCAGCACAAGACTCGTCTCTGATGAGCGCCCAGCTCTGCTCTTGGCCAGACTCCCCGGCACCCTGCAGATCTGGCAGCAGATGAGGTAGGGGGTGGGGTGGCCTTCCCGGGACCCAGGTGTTTTTCCCACTGATGTCCCAGCGCAACACAGGCCCTCTGGGAGGGCTGCAGCCTGAGCCCACCCCATGCCAACCCCAACAACCGGAGTCATGCAAGGAGGGACAACGGTGTGAGGTGAGCCGGGCCGCAGGGAGGGGTGCACTGTGGCACCGGGCTGGGGTAAGTGGCCCTGAATAGGACGCTATGGGGAATGTGTGCCTGGGCGGGCTTGGCGGTATTTCTGTGGACGAGACTGTCACGCAGGCACTAGGCCACCAGAGGGTACTCGGCCTGCTGCTGGAGGAGGGGCTGTGACACGCTGCCAGGCAGGCCTGCGGACAGTGTCACGGGGCAGCGGGGTCTGGGGCCCAGCGCTTCACAGGCATTAAATCACGCGGTCCTCCGGTGACACACGGGACACCAGGCAGAGAGCGTTCTGTGTGGGGCCAGCCCGGAGAGACTTTGTGGGAGATGAGTGGGAACGCCCTCAGGTTTTGACTGCTCCGAAGGGCAGATGGCAGAGGGTGGAAATCTCAAAGCAGGTGAGTCCCACTTGGGAGACATGGAAGACAGCAGCCACCAGGTGCCTGCCGGCCCCTCTGAGTCACGCACACCACACAGCCTGAGGTCAACATGGGCCGCTGTGAGCTAGGTGACTTAAGATTCTGTCACCTCTCTGGGACTCAGTTTCATCACTTTTAAAAAAACATTTATTTACTTTTGATGTTGAAGAATTGATGCTTTTGAACTGTGGTGTTGGTGAAGACTCGTAAGAGTCCCTTGGACTGCAAGGAGATCCAACTAGTCCATCCTAAAAGAGATCAGTCCTGGGTGTTCATTGGAAGGACTGATGTTGAAGCTGAAACTCCAATACTTTAGCCACCTGATAGGAAGCGCTGACTCATTGGAAAAGACCCTGATGCTGGGAAAGATTGAGGGCAGGAGGAGAAGGGGATGACAGGGGATGGGATGGCTGGATGGCATCACCAACTCGATGGACACGGGTTTGGGTGGACTCCGGGAGTGGGTGATGGACAGGGAGGCCTGGCGTACTGTGGTTCACGGGGTCGCAAGGAGTCGGACACGACTGAGCGACTGAACTGAACTGAACTGATTTCCTTTTGACTGTGCTGGGTCTTCGTTACTGTGTGGGCTTTCTCCCGTCGTGGCGAGCGGGGGCTGGCTACTGTCCGGCCGTGCTGCCTGGCCTTCTTGTTGCAGTGGCCTCTCTCGTTACGGGGCACGGGCTCAGTAGTTGTGAGGCTTACTGGCTCTGCAGCATGTGGGATCTTTCCAGAACAGGGATCATACCCATGTCTGCTGCATTGGCAGCCGGGTTCTATACCACCAAGCCACCAAGGAAGCCCCTCATCATTTTTAAAACTTATTTATTTTATTAAAAAATATTTATTTATTTGGCTGAGTCAGGTCTTCACTGCGGCCTGTGGGCTCAGTAGTTGGGGAAGGGAAAGCTCCAGCTTTGGGGGCTGCTAAGGGGCATGAAAGTGGTGTCACGGCCGATGTGGCTTTTGGGCAGGCAGGAGTGACGAGGACACCCCTCCCAGACTCCTCCGCCTGCCCCTCCACAGTGACCAGCCCTAGCCAGACCAGAGCTTCTAGCACCTTCTGTGCTAGCAGCACCTGTGGGTCCCATGAAAATGCAGATCTGCCCGAGCAGTTCCCAGGGGCCCCAGACAACCTTGCTGACCTGTCCGTTGGCCACACTGAGGCTGTGTTCTGGGAGCCCAGTGGGGCCGGGGCAGACATGCTTGATGCTACCCCCTCCACCCAGGCCACACGATGGAGCTTGGAGCCTCCACGCCCCCAGGACAGCCCTCAACCACAGGGAGTCAGGAGAAAAGTGCCCACACTGGGTCTTTGTCCCCAGGCGATGCTGAGGTGTGTCTGTGTGAACTCTCGGGGCAGGGAGGGGGCCCAGCCAGACTGTGCCTCAGCTGCCACAAGGGTCAAATGTCACTGGCTCTCACCCCTTCTGCCTCAGTTTCCCCACTCTTCACTGGGGCTTCTTGGCATTGCCTCCTGAATGAACTACCCGCACCCTTGTGCTGGTCCCAGCTCAGCCTTTGGGGACCGTGGTGAGACCAGAGTGTCTGTGTCTGTGTGGTGGGGGACACGGTATGAGCACTGGGGAGTCTGGGGGCATTTCCGCTACAGCACCCCCACTCCAGCCCTCCGAGCCCCCAGCCACCCTGGTGCTACTAACGTCCTCTCAGATTGAACTACCTGAGAGGGTTCTGTTGTTTGCAACCCAGACCTGGGTGGATGATGATTTAGGAGTTGAGGAGTGGTCTTGGGGTGGACAGGACGCAGGTGACCATGAGGGTGTCCAGGAAGCCACCCGGAGCCACGGAATGTGCTGTGGGGCATCAACTTGAATATACACACTTTATTAGCAAAGGGGACAGAAGGGGACGAGGCCTGATCCAGCAGGCCGTCCTGCCACCAGGGTGCCCCCAGCCCTTGGTGAATGTGCCCGGAGCTGCGGTAACTACAGCATCCTCATGGACTCAAGTGTGCACAGGCCATCCACAGGAGTAAGGGAGTCCAGAGCAGAGCCAGCAGCCACCGAGAGGGGTCTGGCCTGGGTGTGCTGCGGGCCGTCAGCAATTGGATCCAGTTGAAGTAAAGACTGACATTGGTGTAGACACCAGGCCGGTTGCGCCTACCACAGCCCACTCCCCAGCTCACAATTCCAATCTGAATCCACCGCCCATTCTTTTCGCAGACCAAGGGTCCGCCTGAGTCACCCTGGAAAGCAGTGTGGGTGAGCAAGGCCGAGGGTGGGGCATGAGGGCCCCCAGGAGAGGCTGGGAGAGCAGAGTCTGTCCTCTGGATTTCACATAAAGATCCAAGGAGGTACAATGAGTGTGAAACAGGAAGCTTGTTTTACAGACTGGATAAATGAGGTCTACAGTGACCTCATGAATAAACTCTGAGGGTGGATTGGTGGGGGGTCAAGGGGGTTGCCCTCAGAACCAAGATGGGGAGGAGTGGTATGGCCCTCACTGGAGCAGGGTACTCACTTTGCAGCTGTCAGCGTTGCCATCCTCAGAGCCAGCACAAATCATGTCATAATTGATGTTGCTGTGGTAATAAGGCTGCTGGAACAGGTAGGAACACCTGGATCTGTTTATGATGGAGACCTGCACTTCTTGGAGATTGTAGGGAGGTGGCAGCTCTGCCAGGGGTTGAGGGCGGGAGAGAGAAAGAAACAACCTTAGCCTCTCCTCTGCCATCTGGGGAAACGGGGTAAGAAGGTTGGGAGTGGACTTCCTGGGACACCCACAGTACCCAGGACATGGCTCCCCTGCTCCAGCCCAGCGCCCAGCACATGGTGGACCACAGAAGGGCCCAATGGATGGGGAGGCTGTTACAGCTCCTCCCCCAGATTCAGTTTCCCTCTCGTGGCATGCAGATGACAGGCCCTGCCTGGACCAGTGGGGAGAGATCCTGGCTGAAGCATACACAGAGGGGAGGGGCTGATGCGGCTGATCTTGTTTGTAATCAGTGTACTACAGCTGCATGATCTGGGCTGAAGAGTTCCCAAATTTGATGAAAGATACGACTCAGTGATAAAGAATCAGTCTGCCAGTGCAGGAGATGTGGCTTCAATCCTTGGGCTGGGAAGATTCCCTGGGGTAGGAAATGGCAACCCACTCCAGTACTCTTGCCTGGAAAATTCCATGGACAAAGGAGCCAGGTGGGCTACAGTCCATGGAATTGCAAAGAGTCAGACATGACTGAGCACGCACACACACGTGAATCTATACATTCAAGAAGATGAACAAACTCCAAGTAGGATAAACACAAGGAGATCCACATCGAGATACATTCTCATCAAAATATCAAAAGGCAAAGGGAGAATCTTATTAAAAAAAAATGTTGAGAGAGAAGACACACATCAAATATAAGGGATCTTTGGCAAGACTGACAGCTAAATTCTTTCCAGACACCCTGGAGCCCAAGAGGCAGTGGGATGACATATGTAAAGTGTTAAGAGAAGAAAACAGTCAACCAAGCATTCAATATCAGGCAAAACTACCTTTCAAAAAATATGAAGACGAGATTAAGACATTCCCAGATAAACAAATGCTGAGACTGTTCATCATAGTAGGCCTGCCCTTCAAGAAATGGAAAAGGGACCCTTTCAGGCTGAAATGAAAGGACAGTAGACAGAAACTTAAACCCACAGGAAGAAATAGAGAACAATGGTGAAGGTAACTACACAGGTAAATATAAAAGCCAGTATTATTATAATTTTGGTTCATAACTTTTTTCTCTATACAATTTAAAAGACAAATGCATAAGGATAATTATGTCCTGTTAATGACTACACAAAATATAAAGATGTAAACTGTGACAATAACAACTTAAAGGAGAAGAATAGAGTTGTATAGGAACAGAATATTTGTATGCTATTGAACCTAAGTTGGTATTAATTCAAAACAGACTGTTACAAGTTTAAGTTATTAACTTATCTCCAGAGCAACTGCTGAGAAAATAACTAAAAAATACACAGAACAGGAAATGAGAAGAACATCAATACAGTATACTAATAAAAATCAATTAAACAAAATAAGAAATAAGATATAAGGCATAGGTATAGATATAAGATATAGATACAAAATATCTATATCTTCTACATCTGACAGCATATAGAAAACCAACAGAATAAAGGAAGCAGTAAATTCTTCCCTATCAGTGATTAATTTTAATGTAAGTGGATTAAACATCAATTAAAAGGCAGAGATTGGCAGAATAGATTAAAAACAAGGATCCAACTATATCCTGTCTGTATGGTTAGAAGTTATTCCGTCATGTCTGACTCTTTATGACCCCATGGACTGTAGGCTGCCAGGCTTCTCTGTCCATGGGATTCTCCAGGCAAGAATACTGGAGTGGGTTGCCATATCCTGTCTACAAGACAATAGTTTTAGATCCAAATGCAAATATAGGTTGAAGGTGAAAGGTTGGAAAAAGACATTCCATGCAAATAGTAACCAAAAAGAGCTGAGGTTGCTGTACTGTTAGACAAAATAGATTTTGAGTCAGAACGTGTCATAAGAGTCAAAGAAGGACATTACATATTGATAAATGTGTCAGGTCTTCAAGATAAAATAATTATAAATATCTACACATCTAACAACTGAGCCCCAAACTACATGACACAAAATTGATGTAACTGCTGGGAAAAATAGACAGTTCTAGAATAACAGCCAGAGACTTCAATGTCCCACTTTTATTAATGGAAAGAACAATCAAAGAGAAGACCACTAAGAAAATAGAAGTCTTGAAGAGTCAGTAGACCAGAACAATCCCCCAAAAGAAGAGCAGAACACACTTATTCTTTTTAAGTGGATACAAAACATTCTCCAAGATAGATGTCAGACCACAGAATGAGTTAGAATAAAGTAGAAAAGACTGACCGCATAGAAAACAGCTGATTGAGGCTAGAATTCTGTTCCTTCAATAACAGAAGGAAAACTGAAAAATTCACTATATGGAAATTCAACAACATACTCCTAACCAAAGAAGGAATCATGAGGAAAATTAGAAAGCACTGTGAGATGAATGGAAATAAAAACACAACATATCAAAAACTCATTGCAGTGCAGCAAAAGCAGCTCTCACAAGGAAATTTATAGCTGGAAATGACTATGTTAATAAAGGAGAAAAATCTCAAGTTAATCATCTAACTTACGGAACTAGAAAAAGAAGAGCAAATTAAACCCAAAGATAGAAGGAGGAAGGAAATAATAAAGAGATAGATGCAGGTTAAAAAACAACTAGGAGAGGGAAAAACAATAGCGAAAAATCAACAAAAGCAAAAGCTGGTTCTTTGAAAGATCAACAAAACTGACAGTGAAAGTGAGGACACGATCACTGACCGTAAAGAAAATTTAAGGACTATCAGTGATACTATGAACAATTGTCTGCCAACAAATTAGATAACCTCGAAGAAGGGAGCAAATTCCTAGAAACACACAAAATACCAAAACAAATTCAAGAAGAACTAGAAAATCTAGGTAAAGAGATTTAGTCAGTAGTCAGAAATCTCCCAATGAGAAGTTCTGGGCCAGATAACTTAAATGGTGGCATTTATCAAACATTGCAGCGGGGTTTTTCCCGGTTGTTCCGTTGTTTGGGATTTTGCTTTTTATTGCAAGGGTTGGGGTTTGGACTTGGGTTCCCCCTTGTTGCACTTAGGGCCCCCCGGGGCCAGGCAGTTAATTTTTTTTTTTTTTTAAACATAGAAAGAAATTAACATCAGACCTTTTTGAACAACACTTCCTAACTCGTTCTGTGACAACAAAGCCCAGATAAGCTATCTCACAAAAGAAACTACAGATCAACATATATGCAACAATCCTCAACAAAATACTAGCAAGCTGACTTCAGCAGCATTGCTGTTGTTTGGTTGTTCAGTCGTATCCAACTCTTGGCAACCCCCTGGACCACAGCACGCCAGGCTTCCCTGTCCTTCATATTAAAGGAATTCTAACACCATGACCAAGTGAGATTTATCTGAAGAGTGCAAGGGGGGTCCAATATATAAAAATCAATCAATATACTGCATACTGTAGTAATAGAACAAAGGAAAAAACCCACATGGTTATCCTGATTGATGCAGGAAAATCCAACACTCTTTCATTATAAAGACAACCAGTAAGCATAGAGAGAACTTTCCTAACCTGATAATGATCATATGTGAAGCATCCACAGCTAATATCATACAGAACTGTGAAAGACTGAAAGCTTTCCCCCTAAGACAAGGATGCCAGATTTTTTTGCCACTTCCACTTAATATTTTATTGGAAGTTCTAGTCAGAGCAATTAGGCAAGAAAAAGAAATAAAAATATATTCAAGTTGGAAAGGAAGAAGTGAAACTCTTCTTTATTCACAGATGACATGATCTTGTATACAGAAAATCATAAAGAATATACAAGAAAGGACTAGAATTAATAAACTTCACAAATCTGCAGATCTGAAATTGACATAAAAATCAATTATATTTCTGTACACTGCCAATGAACAATTCCAAAACAATATCAGAAAAGAAAATTCATTTATGTAATAGCATCAATAAGAATAAAATAGTTAAAAATAGATTTAATTGAGGAGATGAAAGATCTGTACACAAGAAGCACTACAAAAGATTGCTGAAAGATATTAAAGAAGATCTAAATAAATGGAAACATATCTCATGTTAACGGACTGGAGACTTAATATTATTTCAATGACAGTACTCTCCTAAAGCAATTTACAGATTCAATGCAACCTCTATCCAAACTCCAAAGGTCTTTTGAGTGGAAATTGACAAGCTGATTCTAAAATTTATGTAAAATATCAAGAGACCCCAAATAACAAAACCAATATTTGAAAAAGTAGAATAAAGTTGGAGGACACACACTTCTCAATTTCAAAGCATAATTGGAAGGTACAGGCATCAAACAATGGAGTCCTGGCAAACGGATAGAAACACAGACCAATGGAACATAATTTTGAGTGTAGAAAAACAAAACAAACCCTTTCTTCTTTGGCCAACTAATTTTTGGCAAGGGTGCCAAGACAATTCAGTAGAGTAGAGAACAGTCTTTTCATCGACTGGTGTTGAGACAACTAGATATCCAAATGCAAAAAAATGAAGCCAGACCCCTTATCTCGCACCATAAACGAAGATCAACTCAAAATGAGTCAAAGACATACTTATCAATATAACAGCTAAAACTATAACAAAACTTAAACTCTTCAAGAAAACATGAGAGTACATTTTCATGACCTTGAACTTGAAAATGATTTCTTAGACATGACATCAAAAGCTAATGCAGAAAAAGAAAAAAGCAACCAGAACTTCATCAAAGTTAAAAATGTTGTGCATCAACAGACACTATCATGAACTTCCCTGGTGGTTCAGTGGTTAAGAATCCACCTGTCAGTGCAGGGGACACAAGTTCAATCCCTGGTCCTCGAAGATCCCACATGCCATAACTACTGAGCCTGCAAGCCGCAATTACTGAGGTTACATGCCGCAACTACGGAAGCTGCAGGCCCTGGAATCCATGCTCCACAATAAGAGAAGTTACTGCAATGAGAAGAAGCTTGCACACTGCAACTAAAGAAAGCCCATGAGCAGCAACAAAGACCCAGTGCAGCCAAAAATAAATAATTAAATATATTTTTAAAAAATAGACACTATCATGAAAGTGAAAAGAGATGTGGTCCATGAGTCTTGGTTCAGCCCTGCGTCTGAAGTGCTATTCCCGCATCAACACCAGGGACTGACAACATGGAGCAACCTGGGAGGAGGGAGGTTATGATCCCTATTTCGAGGAATTTGAAGTTATGTAAGAGGATTCAAAACACAACTTTCAGACACTAAAGCCTACCTGTTCGACAGAACTTGGGCGAAGTCTTCATTTCAACTTTCAAATCTTTAGCTCTTTATCCGTTTCCTGGAGATTATCGTAACCCTCCTTCCTGGCATCACTTGGCCCTCTGCTCATTATGAACCCCAACAAGCCAGCTGGTCTCACCCCTAGCTACATATTAGAATCACCTGGGAAGCTTTAAAATACCCCAGCATCCATGCCACATCCCAGACCA